CTTTGCCAATTTTTTTCCTGAAGAACCAAAGTATTTTTTTTCAGCTGGTAGTTGAATTGGGTTTACGTTTGCTTGCACTAGCTGTGCCTTTCATTACTTTGCTGTAGAAATGCAGTGACTTAGACTGAGACAATTCCTCATTTAAAAAACAAAAACAAAAAAAAACTTGTTGAGACAAATATATGGTTAAGAATTTCCGGTAAGACCACAACTGATAACTTAGATTATTAATGGACTTTTGTATTTTAGGTGACGTAGTTAGAAACCTAGTAAGGAAACCACAGTAAAGAAAACTAACACATAGTGTGGTTATTGGTTATTGTAGGGAAGTTGAATAAAACCTATTTTCAGAAAAAAAAAAGAAAATTACCCAAAGGAAAAAGAGAAGGAGGGGGAGTCAGTCCAAAATTTTCTTCGAATTCATTTGCAAAAAATGAAAAAGTTGGAATTTTTTCCATTTTATATGTGCTAATCTATAAATAGCTCCCACATTTTGTAAGTAGACTATTGGAATAATTCATAAAAGGTTGTGTTTATAAGTGCTTCGGTGGTTGAGGCAAACATATCCTAAATTTAGTCAGCACCTATGCCTTGCCCATCTGAGCATCAGGAGACCATTGAGTGGATGTTTCTATAACGTAACCCCTCTGAGGAGAAAACGTCCGGACCTAAGGGTATTTTCAGTGGATCCGTGTTCTGTTTTGATATTGAAGCAGAAGAGAAGTAGAATGGCCACGGATAGAGTTATCAACTGTAAAGCAAAGCCCTGGAAATAGGTGATTGCTTGGGAAATTTCAGTGTTGTCATAGAAATCTCTGTAGCAAAAATCCACCTCAGGACTGCTTCATACACCTAGGATGCCTAAGGATGGCTTCAGGCATCGTTCAACTAAAGGGAACAAACAATATGATGAGGACTTTCTTGCCTGTTTCTTGGCTCTGCTTTTCTCCACACCTTGGTTTCATGCTTTTATGTTGTAAGTGTCTTCCTTGTGGTTAAGGGAGAGTCACTAGAAGTAGCTTCAAGTAAGGTTACTTTACATTTCTAATAATGGGTCCTCAAAGACAATAGATACTTTTTCTTAACTGGTTCTTGCAGAGAAGACTTGGAAAGGATTTTGATTAGTTTGGCTCAGTTTACATGTCTGTTTCTGAAACAAATCTCTGTGGTCTGGGGAATATGAAACCAATAGACAGTCTGAGTTAAATGCTCACTCCTTAAAGATATTTAGGAACAGAGTACTAGGACTGACAGCTCCCACCAGGCCCGCAACTGGGAGAGGAGCGATTCTCCAATAGAAGAAATGCCAAGAAGATAAGAGCTTTGTGCGGTTCATGGTCTCTTGGAACATTGGTCCTCAAAGAAAAACTAAATAAGTGCTTCAACTGGAAGAGCGAATATTTGGCACTTTATAAAAGAACACAAACTCAATCCTATGAAACCTGCTGAGAGATGGGCCATATGAGTCTGAAATGTATGAGAAAACAGAATTAAAAACAAATAAAAGTGGTTTTCTTTTGCAACCTCTGAAGCTCTAATAACCAAATTCTACGAGAATGACAAATACCATTACTACTAACTAATATTTATTGAATATCTATGCTATGCCCAGCGTATTATACAGTTTATCTCATTTAATGTTAAGCAGAAACTCAATGATATGCATTTTATTATTACCCCAATGTAACAAATAGGGAGACTAAAACTAGTTATATTAACTTGCTCAAGTTTATAACTAATGAAAGAAAGTTAAGATTCACAGTTGGATTTGATTCCAGATGCCATGTTTTTAGATAAATAGCCCATTCCATTTTTAGTTCCTTGAAGCAAGAATTGTGCTTTTTTAAAACCTGTATGTTCAGGGACACCTAGGGGGCTCAGTTGGTAACGCGTCTGCCTTTGGCTCAGATCATGATCCCATAGTCCTGGGATCGAGTCTCGCCTTGGACTTTTTGTTTAGCGGGAGCCTGCTTCTCCCTCTACCTGCCGCTCCTCCTGCTTGTGTTCTCTCTCTCTGACAAATAAATAAATAAAATCTTAAAAAAAAATCTGTATGTTCAGTGCCGATGATTTCATCTGGCACACTGTATGTATGTGCTTGTCCAATAACTACATAAACGTTGATGTAGCTCCCACCTTGGAAGCCTCATACTTTCCCTTTTGAACTATTCCCAGCATGAAGCTTCCTAAGAAGTAAAGCAGTATTCCCAACCTACTTATAAACACAGAGAAGGAAAGCAGAGGAGATATTTTTACTTAAAATTAATACTAATTTATTTGTCTCTTTATTCAAAACTATGAACTGAGGGCCTTCTACATGAGGGATACTGCTTTGGCCCCTAGGACCAAAGAAGGATCTCTGAGGAGTTTATTCTAGGGGGAAGGAGGAGATAGATAATAAACAATGAACATTGTTTAGAAATAAATTACTTACAATATTAAGAAAATAAAGTGTTATGGGAAAAAATGGACGAAGTGAGGGGGATCAGGCATGCAGGGGGTTATAGGAGGGCAGGAAGGTAGTGATGTTAAATAGGATGTACCACATGAACATTTAGTCTTGATCAGTAATTGCCATGAAAGTGTTGATTCTTATAAAAATAAGTGAATTTTCTTAACTTTGCTTTTAAAAAGTCCTTTTAATGGTCCCACTTTACTTTGTATTTGCATTTTTAACTTATTATATCAATGCCAGCATAATCACATGTCTTTTGAAAATCTGAACTGGAAAATAATTACCATGAATTTAGATTGTAGTACACTTATAAAAATAAGTGTCCCACCTAACATTTACGTAGGAGAGACTAAGATTTGAACTGTTTAAATAAACTCAGTGTAAATGTTAGCACATTGGATAGGAAAAAGGAAAATGTGAGTTCTACTCACTTTTCTACTGCTGAGTTTCTACTGACCTAATAGAAAAAGTATTGTATTTGTTTTCATCTATAAAAGAAAAATAGGTATTTTTTTCCCCCTCATCTTACAGGACTATATAATGAATTCAGGAAGGAGTTAATATTTTTATTTCTTTGGGGAATATAAAAATATCACATCATTTATTTATTAAAGAAAATATATTTGGCCTAAGAAAGCACAAGCTGATTTAATGAAAAAATTTAGATTATAGGACCGCTCTTTGGTTACTTTTTATCAAAGGATGATAACTGAGAGAGCTTCTTAGTGGTTTTTAAATTTAGAAGCTACTAAGAACACATTTGTAATGTGTACATAATGATTTTATCAATACAGATATAATCAAAATGTTTGTGGTGCATGAAAATAAAGTCCAATCAAGTGTGTAAAACTTACTTGGCAAACTTATTTACATTATTTAGTTAAACCACAAAACAACCCTCTTTAGCTAACTAAAGAAACTTTGTACAGATGTTCTATAATTTCTGAGTTAGTGAAATATTTAGGAATGCTTTTTTGGTGATTTATTATCATGGTCACCATTTTAAACTTATCTTTTGTGGGTTTTTTTTTCATTAAAAAATGACTTCATATTTGAATATGTGCTCAATATGTAGACTACTATCATGTAAGAAAACTCATTAGGATTATAGTTCATATAATTTAGTATTCCTATCCTAATGATGCTTGCATTATTGTGAGCTCTTGATAGCATATGTAAGGAATATTTGAATGAATAAATTTTATATGTTAAAACCCCTATGTTTCTTAAAATAAGAATAGCATTAAAACAGGGAATTCCAAGGTTCAAGGGCCATCTCCATCATTTACTAATGATTTTTTGCACCTCCTTGAGCTTCATTTTCTTGACCTAGAAAGAGCAAAATAATGCCTAACTCACAAGGGCATCCTGAGAATTATGTGGACAATGTAGCTCAAATTCTTTGTAAATTTCTAAGTATGTTATGACTGCATGAAACTATTACCTTCCCAACCAGGAGGCAGAAGTTTTTGTTTGTTTGTTTGGTGTGTTTGTTTGTTCATTGAATGAAATTTTGTTGAATGTCGAATAAAAAATTCTTCTTAGCAGAATAAATTCTAAATGAGGCTCTCCAATAAATGTTTAACACACATGCACTCACACAGTTTTTAACACTTCTTGTATGACAGTTTGCTAAATATAGAATCGATATGGCAAACCAGCAGTTAACCTTAAAGATTAAAGGGAAAAAAATTTGAAAAAAAAAAAAATAAAAGGTTACTGCAGAGCAGTTGATCCATTCTGTCAAAATGCCAGATGTCTCTTACTCTTTGCTCCTGGATATTATTAAAGCTGGCTTCAAGGCTTCTCAGTCTATCTTTCCCTCATTTTCTTTCTCTCTCCTTGTCCCATTCAACATGCTGGCTGCATTGCTCAATTACTGGACAAATGTAACTTCCTGTCCTCTGCTCAGCCACTTTTATAGCAGCACTAACAGATGCTATCATTAAGACCCTCAATGGGAAATCATGAACTAAGTATATTCTTTACCCT